GATTTTCTTTAGGTTGGTTTCTGTGGATTGGAATGCTACCGTAGCACTGTTGTAGTTATTGTTTCCCTTTGTAATGTCGAGCTTCCACCGTCATGGCAAATTTTGGAGAAGTCAAATCAAGCTTTGCCCTCAACTATTAATAGCAACTTCTTTGGACCAAATATCGATCTGCCGTTAGTTGAAAAGCCTAAGCATGCGGACTGGTACGCGGCAGCACGAAACATACTTTTCAGAGAAGCGTATAATACCAGCCATGTTACTCGTCCGGACGTTGCTGAAAAAACCTTTATTATTAAAGTATCTGAGAATCGACGACTAACACCCGAAACCTACAACCGATATTTGTTCCACATTGAATTCGACACCACGGGGACAGACTTGAAATATGACTTGGGTGAGGCTCTCGGTGTATACGGTCATAATGATCCCAAAGAAGTCAATCAATTCTTGAAGTATTACAACTTGAATCCAAATGGTCTAATTTCAATTCCCAATAAAGAAGGTGATCGATACGAAACAAGAACCATATTACAAATTTTCTCTCAGGCTCTTGATATATTCGGTCGACCAGCGAAACGCTTTTACGAGTCTTTAGCACTTTATGCCACGAATGAGAATGAAAGAAACCGACTTTTATGGATAGCCAGTAAGGAAGGTGCAGAAGAATTTAAACGTCGTCTTGCTGATACAATTACATATGCCGATTTGCTTTTTGAATTTACTTCCGCGAAACCACCCGTGGAAGATCTTGTACAAATGATTGCACCCATTAAGCCGCGTCATTATTCGATTGCTTCCGCACAAAGTATTCATCCTAACAGTGTGCATCTGTTGGTGGTAACAGTTGACTGGGTTAACTCTTCTGGTAAAAAACGATTCGGTCAATGCACACGTTATTTGTCTAATCTCAAAGTCGGCGAACGCATTACCGTTTCCATTAAACCATCGGTTATGAAACTTCCTCCACGGGACACACAACCAGTTATAATGGCAGGTCTTGGAACCGGGATGGCACCTTTCCGTGCATTTATTGAAGAGCGCGCTTATCGCAAATCACAAGGAATAGAGGTTGGACCAATGATTCTCTATTTTGGCTCTCGTAACAAGGCCATGGAGTACCTTTACGGTGAGGAACTTGAGGCTTATCATTCCGAAGGACTACTCACGCATCTTCAATTGGCGTTTTCTCGTGATCAACCACACAAAGTCTACATTCAGCATAAGATGAATGAAGATGCTAAACTGTTGCATGAGTATCTATTAAAAGAAGAAGGATGGTTTTATCTGTGTGGTCCCACGTGGCCAGTGCCAGACGTCAAGGATGCCATCGTTAATAGTTTTATGACAGCCGGAGGTTTATCAGAAAATGAGGCGATAGATTATGTTAACAAGCTAAAGGATCTGGAGAGATATATTTTGGAAGTTTATTAATTCTTCGATCACTTATTTAATTCGTACGGAAAGGGAGATATAGGTGTATATGTAAAAAGTAATCCTAATGTAATGACCCAATCGCATTATCTATCAATTGCGCCTTTTTTTAAAATTGCATTTTGTTACCTCTGCATCTAGCAAGAATCTCAATATAGATTTGTTTTTATTACTAAATTGTATGTTTAACTAGAGAAATTAAAGTTCATTTTTGAAAAAAAATGTAGTTGATTAAATTATCCCAATGCCCATGAAACGTTGTAACAATAAATAATTTGACAATGTTTCAAGTTGATTTAGCCGATAGGTTATTATAGCGACGAAGAATTAAATTTATTTTAATAAAATTAATTTTTTAAACAAAACAAAAAAGAAGTTTTTGTAATTTATTTACTGTATTCTAAAAATAAATCAAAAAAGAAATTTGATTGTTTATTCAATTTATTTCTTATATTTAATTGTTTTAAACGTTATAAAATTTTTTAAAAGATAATTAAATTTTAATAACATTATTATTATTATTATATTTATTTTAGTAGATAAATACTTTTTTTTGAATCAAAAAATCATTATTAGTATATATGAATACCAAAATTATATATTTTTATAAGTTAATGCTAGTCTATTTACTTATTATATTAATATATGTAAAATTCAAGAAATTTCTAGAAAAAAAAAAAAGAAAAAAAGAATTTAATTACTAGTAATTTAATTATACTGTATCCTATATGTGTTCTTATAATATAACAAAATAGTTAGTTAAAGTAATTAAAAATTATATAACAGGCTACAGATTTATTTTATTTTATTTTTATTACAAACAAGCATAAAATATGAAACTTTTATTAAAAAAGAGTTTATAGTTATTATATTAAATATTCATTTAAGTTAATACTAGCTTATTGTATATAAAACTTTTGATATAGTATTATATTAAATAGATAATATCACATTAAAAGTAATTTATGAATGTCTTATACTTGTTTATAAATGATTAAATTAAAAAAAGAAAATAATAAAAATTTTAATAAATAGATTTTGAATATTCTGTTTAAATTTATAACAACTTTTTTAATTTGAAAATAATTAATTGAATTTTGGATTTGTTATTTGAATTTGTAAAACTATATAGCAACTATTTAAAACCTGAATAAAATATATAAAAATCTCAATATTTTTATATAACTGTGATTAGGGTTCCGATTGATATCAGTAAATATCATTACCGATTTATTGGTTTTGGTTTCGGTACTAATTTTAAACCTAAAATACCAAACTAAAATTTTTGATAAAGTATCGATCAGTTTCAGTATTTTTAAAAATATCGATCAGTAATTAATATTAACAATAGAAGTTATATTAATATTAATAATAGAAGTTATATCAAACCATAAATATAAATAGAATTTTTATTATATAATTTGATAAATACTGTTACTGATAAGGTTCCGATTAATATCAGTTTTGGTTTCGGTACTAATTTTAAAACTAAAATATCAAACTGAAAATTTTCAGTAAAATACTAATTGATTTTAATATTTTTAAAAAATAACAATTGATAATTAATAATAACAATAGAAGTTATATTAATATTAATAGAAGTTATATCAAACTATAAATATAAATAGAATTTTTATTATATAATTTCAATAAATACCATTATTG